AAAGGAAATAAGTATTCCCATCGGTACAGGAAAGATGCATACACATCTGGAGCCTCAGAAATCATTGATCATATTCCTTTAAAGAGTTTTTGCAGAGGTATAGACTGAACATAGTGCTAGGCCCCCTGGGTTAGAGCCATGAGCTAGTCAAAGCCAATGCTATGGCAGAATATAGAGAATGGAGTAGGAGGCAGACATTAATGAAATAGCTCAAATGTAAAATGGTTCCAAAGAATTATTAACTGATCCACAGTCCGAACTCATACTCCAAGGCAGGAAGAAAGACTCATTACAAAACTGAAGAGCAGTCCCTGTGCCAGCAGGTGATTCTGACTCCTGGCAAACCCATGTGTGCCAGAGCCAAGAAGTGCACCCTAGTATCTCCAATGACTACTTCATCAGAAGAAAATTGCCAGACCTTTCTTCTGAGTACCTAAAAGTGGATTGATATCTGCAGCCCTCTGTTAGCAGCTCTGCGTGTTAACCATTTGTGTTAATCTGGGGACTCCAGAACAGAATAGAGTTCCACCCTGCTGATGGAAGATGTCTTGCTGAGAATTGTCATCATAACAAAAATACCTGAGGAGATACACTGAATGCAACCTGAAGTGGGAAAATTCTTTACTCATCTCAAAATGAATGAGTCCCTCTGAGAAAAATGCAAGACTGCACAAAACCCAGATTTGCTGCTGTCTGTACTCTCCTAGCATAAGAGAGACTATATGTACCTCTTTGTCAACAGGCTTGACCTGTGCATTACCTGTTCATTATCATTAGCTGGGCGTGCAGAAGACGTGGCTCCCCGGTGAAGACCAAAAGGGCGAAGTAAGCTTCTCCATCATCTTGAGAGTCAAGGCAAAGAATCCTGACTATATCCCTCCCCTGAACTACCCTTCTCCTCTAGCTTGTTTGTTTTTACACTCTGGGCTTCAGTGTTCAGTCAACACAGATTCATTCAATGCTTGCTAATTCTACAATTACTAGGAGCCAAGGACATAAAACAACAAATGAGACAAAGTCTCTGATCTCAAGGAGCTTCTATGATAAGGGAGACTGCAGATAACTAGGGAGCAAACTATTTCAGAATGTGGTAAGTGTTAGAAAGGAGATAAATAGTCGGACATGCGAGTTTTAGGGTTATGTGAGGACGAGAGACCCAGGAGGTTGTCTCAGATAGAGGGTCAGAGCAGGGCCTCTTAGAATGGGGAGCAGAACTAAACGATCAGGTGCCTGGTGCCAGTGGAGCAAAGAACCTGGAGACAAACACTCCAGGAAGAGGCGATGACTGGTAAAGGGTCTCAGTTGGAACAAACGCAAAGTGCAAATAGGAAGTTGATTTGCCTGCAGGGTAAACAAGGAGGAGTTAGGACAGTTGGAATTAGAGCATCCTACAAAGAGATACTGCTTCTATAAGGATTTATAACTTTCGAAACTCTAAGAAGAAGTTCTACTCTGCCCTATAGGGTCATTGAATTGGAATTGACTCAATGGTAGTGGATTATTGGTTTGCTGAAGGCTTTAAAGTTCCTGGGTGGTACAAACGGTCTGCACTTGACTACTAACCTACAGATTGGAGGTTCAAACCCACCCGGAAGGGCCGTGAAGAAAGTCTTGGTGACTACAATCAAAGAAACCCCATGGATCACTACTACTCAGTACAACATAGGGTCAGCATGAGTGGAATTCAATGCAATCCAACATGTTTTCATCAATATGGGTTCTACAAGGTCTCACGATAGCGATTTAACAGTAAATGTGAAACAGTTTGAGTTTGACTATGGGGAGAAACCATTCCAGACTGTGGAAAATCAAGTAAAGAAATCGGGGGGAGTGGGGGATGAGGGGAAATAAACCAAGAAGTCTTAACCTACAAATGGTATTGCGACTTTCAACTACTTTAGATTTCCCATGTTCCCATTCAGCTCATGAGCACAGTGGTTAAAATTTAACTCGGAAACCAAACTCACTGTCATCTAGTCCATCTTGCCTCATAACCGCCCAGTAGAACAGACCAGAACTACCCCTGTGCGTTTCTGAGACTGTAAATGGCTATGGGAGTAGAAAGTCTCATCTTTCTAAATGCTATTTAGAAAAACAGCTGAGGGTTGACCTCAATCCAGGTAATATCCCCAGATTAAAACCGGCAGAGAGATAATTAAGTCAAATATCACATTGATTCCATTTGGATATTTTAAATTTCACAATTCGCTGTCCACGGGCTATTTATTTAGGGTACACCAGTCTTTTTGGACATGCTCCTCTATTGGAGAAGAAAAGATCTAGTGTTCAGTGAAATGATAAGAAAAGCACATGAGTTCTTAACAGAAATCCCAGCAAGACTGAAATGCTACTTCTCAATGGGCCATGTCCTTCTCTGTCCTCGTTCTGCTGTCTCAGATCAGTCTTCACAAAACACAGTTTTCATCCTTTTGCTGCTTTGCTAACATTTAAAAATGTTATTTTGTTCTAGTTGTGGAGAAGACAGGAGAAAAAGCACACCGATTCGGCCATTTCTACACAGACAACTCGGTGACATCGATGGTCGTCCTGGAGTTCTGGGACCACTCCTCCCCTCCTTTGCAGAGCTGCTTCTCCCCCGTTACAATCCACTGTCCCCTGGTTTCTGTCTAATCGTTTGAGTTGGTGTTTTCAATTGGATCCCATAATGATAATTTTTAAAAGAGCACCATCCCCAAGGCTGACGTTTTCCACTAGGCAGGCTAAACTATTGCTTAGTTTTAAGACGTCTTCAGAAGGTGTTGTCAGTTTAAGGTTTAAAGGTGATCTCAGGCAACAGTTTCAGAGGTTCACTGAGGCTGTATGGCTCCAGAATGACAGGATCTCATAAGAATTGCAAATTCTACTCTTCATTTTCTCCCCTTTGGATCAGGATATTTCTGCAGAATCTGTGACCAACCTGTTTGGTAACGATTGCCAGGCATCATGCGGTTCTTGTGACTTGACAAAGAGGCAACTGGCCGTGGAGGCTGTTAGCCACACATTCCACATCTTCCTCTTATTCGTGATTCTCATTTGCCCTATGGTGCTCCAGGCAAATGGCAGCCAGTTGACATGCCTTGGATGGCCACTTGCAGGTTGTCAAAACCCTACACATTATGCGACAAGCTAGGAGGTAGAATGGAAGCAAGCAATTCTCTGGACCAATTAAATGAGATGTCCAATGAAACTATGGCCCTAAACCTCTAAGTCAACCAAATTCCACGAGGTTTCTTGTTGCGTATATCGATCACACTTCTGTGATTTCAACTTGTCACAGCTGTATTGGCAGCAACTATAATCATCAGGTGATTTCCTTCCCCAAACCAGCCACTAAAAACCCTTTGGATCACAACAATCCAACTCGCAGCTGAGCAAACAGAGGCTACAGGACTGGGCAGACTTCTGTTGTGCTGTGTATGGGGTGCCTGTGAATAAGTCATGGAATCAACTGCAGATAACAAAAACTTCTCCCAATGCCCAAAGGGTTGATTCTATCTTCCAGGAATCTCTCTTGAGTTTTTCCATCTCCATTTCCAACGCACAGTAGTCCAGTTACCAGTAATGCTTATCAGGACCCTAGACCATTTGAAAGGACCCCTGGTGGCACAGTGTGTAAGCATTGGGCTACTAACTGAAAAGTTAACAGTTCGAATCTACCGCCCAGGCTGCAGGAGAAAGGTGAGGCTGTTTTCTTCTGCAAAGATTTACAGTCTTGGAAACCATAAGGAGCAGTTCTATTCTGTCTCCTGGGGTTGCTAGGAATTGGAATTGACTCAGTGGCAGTAAGTGGTTAGATCACTTTAATGAGCTCATTTTAAAGTTCTATATATCTTTGCCATAGAAAAAGTAACACACACATTTATTTATGTGCAATTGCTACAATACCCTGTTAGCTATTCCACAACACTACTGGGATCTTTATGACCTTGCCCTTTTTCTTATGCTACTTAATTTTTATTTCTATGTCTTATTGGACTCACTAGAATTGTACTTGAAGGAAAGGAAGTGTTTTGTTCATTGTTGTATTCTCTGTAACTAGTTTAGTGTCTGCCGCGAATGCATTCATGAAAGAATTATTATGAATCATACAGAAATGTTTCCCTAAAATTTTTAATCCCCGACTGAAAGGAATTATCTTATTTCTATTGTTGTATAAATATTACAATGGATTTAATCACTTGGTTGATAAAAATAACAGAGATCATTTACTGAGCATGTCTTGTATACTAAACTACAAATATCATTGCTTTCAATCTTTACCAAAAACATCATGTGAGGATTAAATTACTGTCACCATTGCCCAGAAGAGGAAATCAAGAATTATAGAGGTCAATTACTCGTGGTCAAATAGTTGACAGGTACTAGTGTTAGAACCACCTTGTGTGTAATGGGAAAGAAACTGCTATAGGATACCCATTACTATCAAGTCTATTACAACTCACAGTGACCCTCTAAGGCAGTGGTTCTCAACCTTCCTAATGCCAGGACCCTTTAGCACAGTTCCTTATGTTGTGGTGACCCCCAACCATAAAATTATTTTCATTGCTACTTCATAGTTGTAATTTTCCCACTGTTATGAATCGGGTGACCCCTGTGAAAGGGTCGTTCAACCCCCAAAGGGGTCACAACCCACAGGTTGAGAACCTCTTTTCTAAGGGTTTCTGAGGCTGTAAATATTTCTGTGAGCAAATAATCTCCTCTTTCTCTAATGGAGCAGTTGCTGGGTTAGAACCACTAACCTTGTGGGTGGAAGTCCAATGTTTACCTGACAGCATCACCCAGCTCCATCATTGCTTTAAGATACTACCCAGCCATTGCTCCAACATCATGGCTCAGTGGTTTGTTCTGGGGGGTGGGGGTGGTGCTCCTCTGAAACCCTCCTTGGAGAAGTACAGAAGAGCTCTGCCCTCCAGGGTTCCAAGTGATTTTACATCTGCTATGCGAAGTGCCAGCCTTCCCATAGCTTAGTGGTATTGCAAGTGGTGGCCACTTGACCTTACGTGGCCACTGGATGGCCTGAACCAGGCAGTAGTGAGGTTCTCCATTAGTGCAGACATTGGTACCCACCTGTCTGTCAGAGGAGTGATCACCAGGCGAGGGGTATTTCCCAAGTATTCATAGGAATATAGAAACTGGGCATCACAAATATTGGCAAAGCAGTGTTTGGCCTCATCATCCCACCGGTGTCGCAGCTGGGACAGCCAGAGGAAGGCCTGGGCATTGTCCACCTGTAGAGGAAGTTCAGAGATTGTTGGTGAAATGCAGTGCTAAACAGGTGTTCATAGTTGGTTCCTTGACCACACGACACTTGTGGCTCTGAATGATTTGGCTGCGGTCTGCCACCAGGAGCACAGCACCCCCTGCCCACCAGAGCATAGAAAGCAGGAGCTGCTCTAATGGCACAGTTCACTGGAGGTTTTAAAAGGTGGGAGTGGCCATCAAGAGCCTCCTCAAGTTCTCTGGCTGGTGCCATGTAGACTCTGAAGACGCCTACTGAGACTACATGTGAGCTTTTCCCTAACTCCAGTATGCATGATATGTCTGCTCATAAAGAAGGACCCCCTGGGTGTTTGGAACCCACCTTCTGGGCAATCATCTTGGCCACCACATCCCGGGCATGCACGTCAATGGTGCATATGGTCATAATCTTCTGCCGGTCCCCCTTGGAGAGTTGACCAATCAGCATAGTAATGAGTGTCTTGAGCTGGGTCACCTGCTTCTTGTAGTAATCCTTCATGGCACTCTCATAGCCTTCTTCCAGCCTGGCAAATGCAATGCCCACCTCTGTTGTCCACCAGATTTGCGTACAGGTCAGGGCCACCTGTGGCACCAAGAGGCATTGGGTAGGTAACCATGACTAAGAGGGTCTCCAGCCAGCCCACCAATCAGCTAGCATGAGCCCAGGATAAAATCACAAGGGTGACTGTGATAGGTAGGTTTGTTGTGCCAACATGGCCAATGAACACATGTGAGAGTAGTTGAAGGGCAGAGAGATAAATGGCTCGGTGAGTCTCGCCTCCTCTCTTGATCTTTGATCATCAGACCAGTGTGCGGTTGCCTTGCATGTTCTGTGCCTCAATTTGCAAGCTACACTCCCTGTGGGACATCTAACCCGTGGACTGTGTTGCTATAACTTGGGGTTCCTTCAAGTCTTGCTTCACCGTGCTACTGGAAGGTACATCTCTTGAGCTGGGGACTGTTGGACCCTGTCATCTGGCTGACTGTTGGTGGCCTGCTTGCTATTTGCTGACTATGGCTGGACAGCCTGAATTGCACCACGGAGGACTACCCCGCGGACCTCAAGACTTGAAGGACTGCTGGTGTACTAGCTGTCTCACAGAAGTGAGTTGCACTGAGCCATTTGTACTTCTTTATAGATTAATTAACTGTTTATTTCTTATGTTATCTATCTATCTATCTATCTATCTATCTATCTATCTATCTATCTATCTAAATATATATAAAATTATTAATGCCCTGGTTGTTGTTTTTTTGAGAACCCGGTCTAAAACAGTGATACAGTCCCATTTCCTCCTTCTTCCCCCAACATCGACCAAGCAAGCTAAGAAATCGAAATGGTTGGAAGTGGAAGTTGTTACAACACAGTTTCTGTTCTTGGAAAATGTGCAAATTTGATTGAGAACAAGTAAATTCTAGAAATATCCATAGAAATCACTGGGCTTTTACTTCCCAGAGGCAGCATCTTTCCTGTGCTTGGGAAAGTAACTGAGTAGTTATTTACTGAGAATCTCAACAAGACCCATGTACAGTTTTTGGCTTGTTCTGGGCTGTGCTCCTCTTTATTCCTCGGGCACCTCATGTGACCCAAGTAGAAAAGTTCATTGAGCCTGTGGTGATTAACTGTGGTACATATTTGCTTGCCCACTATGATCTTAAAGCAACCAAAGCTGAGTGTCCTAGGACAGGAGCCATGTGGAGTGGGGTGCCTTTGGGCACTAAATTGGGGGAGCTGAGCATCTTTGGGATGAAATGTATAACGGAGTTGCATGTCCTCTAGATATTTACTGGCAGTCTTCAAGGAGCATTGTAACTTTGCTTGAGCAGACAAGAGGTCCAGCCAAGAAGCTGAGGGTCAGAGAGGCCTGCCTGTGGGTAGGGCAGAGAAATTGTCCCGACTGAACAACTGCATCCTGAGCATTTCTCACCTGGATTGTAATCTGTTACTTTCTCTAATAAACCCTGTGCTGGTGAATATTGTCATTGAGTTCTGGGTGACTATCACAATGAATCACAGAACCTGGCAGAAAAGCAGAGGTTGCTGAGGGAGGGCTAGTTGGCGACTGAGTAGGGTGAAAGGGGATGGGGGGTGAAGGCATTTGTGACCTCGGCCTTGTGGCAATCAGTTTAGCAGTTGGAGGAGGTCACATGTGGCCCCCACACCATTTCTGAAAAGGCCGATCTTATCTACTGTTTTGGACAGTTACCATCAAATGTTCACTTCCCCAAATATAACCATAACAGCAAAATTCAATGTGGTCAGTGTTATTTACATTTTTCAGTGATTAAAAATAAATAAATGGAAAATAAGGGGATTCAAATACTACTTCTTCGAGAACATAATATGGAAATGCCCATAATTTTGATTATTCCTGGTGGGAAATTCATGTCCTTGCTCCCCTCCAGTACCCTCTTGTTTGGAAGCTGCTGTGCTAAATGATCCCTGTTGCAATAGCAAGAGGTCATTTTCATGCCTCAAAATGCTGATACTCCTGATACAGTAAAACACATAATTCCCCAATTTTTCCTTTTTTGCCTTAGAATTTATACATATTGACCCTATTGAAAAAGTTCTTCCTGCATTGATGGCCTTATTTGAATGGCTTGAAGGGATGCTCCAAGTCTAATGTTAAGAAATACCTGTTTTCCCCAGCGGTACTGGCCTATGTCTCACCTTCACAGTCATGTCTCTTGAGTTTTCCACCCTCACATCAGCTTTTCCCCACCTTTGTCTGACTGAGCTCCCCACAGCGTGCTGGCTTCCATCCTAGCCTACTGGCTCTCTCCTGGGGCCTCTTCAGTTCACTTGCTGTTCTAGAAGCACTTGGCATTTTCACCCTCTTACCTCCCATTACGTTTCTTTTTTGGTTTCCATAAGTACGGTCTCCAGGGTTTTCTTTTGTCTAGGAAGAGATCATGCCTGTTTCTGCTTCACTGGTTCTTCCTCGCATACTGAGCCTCTGAATGGTGAACAATGACTTGTCCTATACTCTCACTACATGCTACATACTTTCCAAGGGCATCCTGGTCTACTATTATGGATTCAGTTACCACCAAATGTTCATTCCCCAACATGTACTAAAATCAGTATTGAGGAAAAATGGAGTGGTATATTATAGCCAATGTCATTAAAAAAAAAATCTCATTAGCTCTCTCCTCCAATTCTCCTCCTAAGAACCCTGTAAAGGATTTGAACCTTAGAATCAAGTTGGACTCCTTAATGCTGTTTCTAAAATGTGGCTTCTGTTTTCCTCCCCAGAATACATGTGCTCTCCCATGCTGCTCACTTCCATACTCTATGTCACCCACAATCAATTCATCTCAGTTTTTCAAGTACCGCATGATCTCCATTTCTTCTGAGCCCTTACCCATACTCAAGCCCACACTTGATTATTTTTCCTTCCATCTTTGACTTGTTAGCTCCTCTGTTAAATCTCTGCTTAAACATCCTATTCTAAGTGGTTGTCTCCGGATCCCACGAACTAGTACGGGTAATATGGTCCTAGGGTACCCTATATCACCTATTACCTCACACCAAGTACATTTGTGATTGATTGATTTCCACACTAACCTACACACTCCAGGAGGACAGAGACAAATTGTCTTGTTTCTTATGGGTGTCTTGGGTATGTTAGCACAAAGGTCAGCAGATACTAAATGGACTGGTTCAATGAGTATTAATTGAATTGGTCACACTTTCTCTCTGTTGTAGCCAATCAGGGTCAAAATGGACATCCTCTGATCTTCCAAAGTAAAGGTGAAATTAGACAACGAATGACAAGATCCCCCCTTCTCTTGCTGACACTTATAGACGACAGGGGGTCGAGCATCTCCTGACTGTGAAACAAAATGTGAGTCTTATGTCTAGGAGTTCTGGTAGTACAACAGAGGCTACTGAGGAAGACAGCTCAGTGGAGGACAGGGATTCGTCAGGGCCTGGGTAAGAAAATACCTGAGCTGGGTAGTCAAAGAGCCACTGCTCTCTCGGTTTTTCTTCATAGGCAGTTACACCTTCTGTCATTTCATGCCTCACGGTCGCCTTCATGTGAGTAAGCACATGATTCAGCCATATTTCTACCTGGAAGAAGAACCTGGATCAGACACTGAGCACTGGGGATTTGATCAACAATGATCAAATGGAACCCGGCATGGCTTCAGAAAGCACAGAGATGTTTTGTTTGTGTAACTGAGGGTAGTAATAAGTGAGAACTGGCCTTAACAAAACAGAATGATGAGCCCACTTGGAAAACATAAGTCAGAGAAGCAGGTCAGGGGGAGACACCATGACCCTGGCTTCATTCAAGGAAATCTAAATCTGGGTTGCTCTCTGTAAGGAAGTCCCTGAGAGAGGTAAACAATTTTCCAACTAATTATTTTATAGGTCTACAAAAAGAATGAACTCTGAATCAACTCCCAGGGCCAATCACATATAACCCAGAATTTCTGATCATTTTCTGATAATAGAGTGCTCTCTAAGATACATGTGGATTAAGGTAGAACCACACAAAATTTCTTTTCTTCAGCTGTTAAAATGAACTAACTGGTTGATAGACCCAAAGGATGATGCTTTGATTGCTCATTTAGGATAAAGAACATTCAATTTATATTTCAGCAGTGATACAAAAGGATGGAAAAGAGGTTTGGGGAGAGAGTAAGCCCCTGGTCCATGTTGCTTGAGTTGGACACTCACGATCTGGAGATAATGGATCTTAGAACTGCGTGGCAGTTGGTTCTCCAATGGGAAGGTCTAGCAGGAGAGTGGAAGTGATTCTATGGTGCGTTTGTACAGGGAGGGGACATCTCAAGACAGTCATTGATTTCAAAGGCCATTTTGTTCTCAGGGAAGTTGTCAGTGGCCCAGATTCCCCTGTGGTGTGCTTGAGGCACTGTTGTGTTTAAGTCTCCTGGCGGCAATAATCATCTTGAAATACTGTCCTTGTTGCCTGGGATAGTTGTGTATGTACATGTTAGTCCTCTCTGCACAGATCTTTGGGTCAGGGAGAGATAAGAATGTTGGCAAGTGTCCTTCCCAGGAAGAGGAAAATGTGCAAACCAGCACATTGCACTTCAAAGTCACTTCCAGTCAAAGGTAGCTGGAAGTTCTGGGGCAGGCAGATTAGTTCTGCCTGAAGGTCAGAGGGACTATCCCCAAGGTCAAAACATACTGCATTCAGGTAGTTGAGAGTAAAGGTATAAGGCAGACAAAAGGGCATTTTCTTTACCTGCCCACTACAGTCACAAGGCTCACTGAAGGGCACGTACTCTTCTTCTTTGCTGTACATGCCAAGGCTTATCTTGGTTGGTTTCTCAGCGTCATCAAACTGAAACTGCATCTTGGCCATATTGTCGAAGAGTTTAGAAAGGTGGCGTTGCACCTTTGAGGCAAGGCAAGCAGAAGGATTGATGAATGTGTTTAGCACAATCTTTATTAGTATTGCTTAGGTACTTGCCATGTGACAATCATTGTAAAAGATGGATGGGTGGACACAAAATACTTAGAAGGAAGTGAAGCGAGGACGGGAGCCAACTGGATCTGACAGAAGTGGTCAAAGGAATATACAACTAATGGGCATCATGCATGAGCTATAATGGTTTGCTTAATTTCTACCCAAACTAACACACATGGAACCAGACTGGAGTGTACAATAAGAAATAAGCAGAGGCCATAGTGGAAAAATAATTATAACACATTCCAATTTGGAAGGTGAAGGTCAGTGGTGATGGTGGCCTGTGGAAGCAGTCATTCCAATCATTGGGACCTCTCTGGTGTGGCAAAGCAACAAGGGAGTCTAAAGCAAGGTCAAGGTATACAGAAATCCTGGCTATGGATGGCAGGATTTCCCCTTTACACGGGCACCTCTGGCAGGAGTGTTTGCAGGGATGCCAAACTCACTGCTGTTAATCTGGCTCATAGTGCCCCACAGATGAGAGAGTAAAACTGCCCCTTAGGGTTCCAGAGCGTCAAGTCTTTACAAAAGCAGACTCTCACACATGTTTGCTGTAGAGTGGCTGCTGGTGACTTCTGGGAAGCAGCCAAGTACTTAATCACGGTACCATCAGGGCTTCTAGAAGGAAGCTAGACAGAGCCAACTGTGTGTCTTGCAAAGACTCAGCCCCTCCCAACCTTGCCATCCTCAATGTTTCCACTTTACTCTGGATGTGCTTGGGCTTCCCTCTCTACCCTGCCGTCCCAGCCTGCAGTGTTAAAAGGGACACCAGAAAGAGCCAATTGTATTCCTCCTAAAGGCTTACCACCCTCCAACTTTTCTCCAATTACACATGACCCTGGCCCCTAGACGAGCTGGAGGGTCTCCTGAGCATCAGGAATGGCGGGAATGAAAAACGGTCTGAGGTTTGGGATGACGGAAACACGGGTTTGAAATATACACACTGCTAGAGATAGGAAGCAGAAAGGAGAACCTCAAACTCTCTTCTTCAGGGAGCCTCCCACTGTCTGGAATTTTCTGCACACTGCTTGCTCACCTGCAGTGGAGCTGTGCCATTGGAAAGGATGTCCAACAGGTCTGCAGAGGAGAGAAAGTAGAACCTAGGAAAGGCCAGCCTCTTGGTATCTAAGTACTCTGCCAGCGCCTTCTCACACAGGGACAATCTGTGGGAAAGAACATAGTCTTTCCTCAATGAGTGTGTCTGGGCCCACTGGCATATGTATGCGCATTCCCAAAGTACAAATGTGTGCAAATACAAAATCTATGGAGAAATCAGCACAAGGAGCATTTATGGATGCTTGCAAGCATCCATAATGATATAGTTACCTTAGGACACCAGTTACCAGTTGTGGGGGAGTTAATGCTAACTCATGGCATTTCTATTTATGTCCAAGTAGGACTGTGCTCCATAGGGTTTTAAACGGTTGTGATTTTTTCAGAGCTAGATCACCACGGTGCCTCTGGGAGGCCTTGAGCTGCCAGGCTTTCATTTAGTAGGCATTTGCTTCCCCCACGAGCTCCTTACATCATTAGCATAAACACTTCTAATGTTGTGGTGGTCTGGTGATCTCAAACTGGTCCTGACGCCTGGTGACCCCAGTACAACACTAGAGAACCTTGCTTGGTCCTGCACCATCTTCACAAGCTTTGCTGTTTGAGCCCATCGTTGTAACTACTGTGTCAATCATGTTGTTGGGAGTGGATTTTCTTTTGTCAACCTTCTGCTACTTTACTAAGCGTGACGTCCTTTTTCAGAGAAAAAGTATATGAACTGGAGCCGTGCAGTTTTCACTAATAAGGACCATTCTATCTGGACTTCCTCCGAGACACATTTGTTCATTCTTCTGGCAGTTCAGGTACATTTAATATTATTCACCAACACCATCATTCAAAGGCACCGATTTTTTTTTCATTTAGCTTGTGAATGGTTTAACTTTCACATCCAGATGAGGTGTTTGAACAATACCACTGCTGACTTCAGTCAGGGGCCCTGCTGGCACTGTAGGATAAGCACAGGCAGTTAATGGTAGAGTCAAAGGCTCACACCCACCAGCTGCTCAGGAGAAGGAAAAATAGGCTGTCTCCTCCTCAAAGATTTATAGTCTTGGAAACCCTTCAGGGGTCATTATGAGTCAGAAATGATTTGATGGCAGTAGGTTTGGGTGTGGGTAAGTCGGGTGCTCCTCAGACTGCGAAATGGTGCCTGTTATTTGACGCATTTTAAAGAGGTTTGCAGAGTGTGTAACGCAGTGTCTCATTTGATTTCTTGATCGCTGCTACCATTGGTAGTAAATGCTTGACAGATTCAATCTTTTCTCTGTTTATCAGGATGCTGATACTGGTCTGCTTGTGAGGATTTCTCTTTCATGTTGGGGGGTAATCCGTACTCAAGGCTGTGGTCTGTGATCTTCCTCAGTAAGCGCTTCGGTCCTCACTACTTTCAACTAGCCAGGGTGATCTTTTGCTCCTCACCAGAGGCTGTTACTGAACGTTCCTTCAATCTTGAGGTCATGCAGTTTTCTTCATACGGTCCAGCTTCTCAGCCTACAAATTTGCTCAGCATACAGACTGAATAAATGTGGTAAAAAGATAAGGTCCTTACCCACACCTTTTCTGATTTTAAACCACGTTCACTAATTCATTGCTATAAAGTCCATTTGAACTCATAGTGACCCTATAGGACAGAGCGGAACTTCCCCAATGACTGCCCAGGACTGCACATCTTTATATGAGCAAATAGCCTCATCTTTCTTTTGTGTAGTGGCTGGTGGTTTCACACTGCTGATCTAGTGGCTAGCAGTCCAATGCGTAACCCACTATACTGCCAGGGTTAACAGTTCAAACCACACATAAGTATACCTTTCTGTGTTCAAATTTCTGCCTCTTGGCCTAGGTACAGGTTCCAAATGAGCACAATTAAGTGTCCTGGAATTTCCCTTCTTCAATATATTAGCCATAATTTGTTATGATTTCCAGTCGAATGCCTTTGCATGGTCAATAAACTTAGGGAAGCCTCTTTCTGGTACCCTCTGCTTTTAGTCAGACCTCTCTGACGTCAGCATTGCTGTCCCCTGTTCCAGGTCCACAAGTAAGTTGGGATTAAATTTCTGGCAGCTCCATGTCAATGTACTTTTGCAAACATTTTTGAATTCTCTTCTAATAATACCTAAGAAGAATGGATGCACTTGAACTGTGGTGCTGGAGAAGAGTACCAAAAGTACCATGGACTGTTAAAAGGACAAACACATTTGTCTCGGAAGAAGAATAGCCAGCGTGCTCCTTAGAGGTCAGGAGGTCAAGAGTTCGTCTTACATATTTTAGACATATTGTCAGGAGACACCACTCCCTGGAGGAGGCTATCAAGCTTGATAAAGTGCAGGGGCCAAAAAAGAGGAAGGCTCTCAATGAGATGGACAGACACCATGGCTGCAACAATGGACTGGGGTGTGGGAACCATTGCGAGGTTGCAGGACCGTTTGATGGGTCATCCTGTTGTGCACAGTGTCACTATGGGTGGAAACCGGCTCAGTGGCACCTAACGCCAGACCCTCTGTCCCCAAACATCCAAGGGACATACTCAGGCAACCTCACTCGCTCGCTCACTTACTCATTCACTCAGCTAAATAAGCCTAAAGACAGAAGGAGAAAAAGTAAACACTGTCCCTTCCACCACAAAAGGGCAGCAAGACAATTTTCACCTGCTCTGAATATCTTCCAGTTTCTCATAAAGACCTGATTTGTTGGTAGCTTCCACGACATTTGGAGTTTTCTCAGCATCATAAGCCAGCTCCTTAAAGTCCATGTCAATGCCCTCGAATCTTGTTGAGTCCTACAAATGAAAGTGTGAGAAGAAATTAAATACCATTTCCCTCAATTTCGGGAGGCACCCTTGATGTTACCAGTAACATGTCAGTCAGAAGCATGTACTTGTTCCTGGTTGTCCGAGAGAGATTACCCACAGACACAAAAAGACCTTAGCTAGCAATAGCAGTTCTCAATTCTTGCTCCCACCCCCTTTTTGGCTTCAGAATCCATTTACAGTATCTAAAATTATTGAGAGCTCCAAGACAGCTGCCAATATTTTTTCTATCAGGAGTTAGAATTGAGAAATTAAACACACACACACACATACACACACACACACACAAACACACATATACAAGAGGGGGTAACTCCTCCCCCCAAATGGGATTCTTCCCCCCTCCCAGCCAATTACACTTAATACATTTGTCAAATCTGCGATTCCATCCTTGGAAACATTTTTCAGTCTCATCTGTTTGGATGGCTGACAGCAGCACCCTCATTTTTTTCTTCGTCTCTTCAATGTCATCAAATCACTGTCCTTTCATGTACGTCTTCATGCATTGAAGCAAAAAGAAGTTACATGGAGTAACTTTCCCCATAGGGCTGTCCTTGTAAGCTGTGTTCAACATCACAACAGTTTCTGGAGCATTTTTCCCCAAGCAGGCACATGCCGGTCTCTTCAATTAGCCATCACACAAAAAAACAAGGTTCGAGGGAAACTGCTTTTACAAAAAAATGCACTGTGACCAGAGAACCTTCCCAGGTGAAGCCACTGGGTGCACTAACTCAGAGCAAGTTGATACATGCTAGCCTAGCAGGAAAAATACGTGTACTACAAAAGCTCCACCCAACAGAGCTTTTTCCCGGCTTTGGGGGTATCCCCTCAAATGTGAGTCCACAGTTCTACCCTGTTCTATAGGGTCACCATGCCTCAGAATTGACTTGATGGGAGGGAGTTTGTTTTTTGGGTTATTATATATGAACCTAACATATTTTACCTAAAATCACTATATTTTGCAAAATAAAATAAATTCATGAGGAAAGTGGCATTCCCCCCTAACATATTGTGGCAATAATCTTTAATGTTTGAGCTAATCGAATACAACCAGATTCTCATCTCTGCTTCTGTGGTCAATCTATTGTGGAACCCACATCACACACGTGTCCTCTGGACAACCTCACCATATGCTTATAAAAGAAACAGAATTAAAATGAAAAAATAACAAAGAACTTTTTAGGATGATTATCTTCAAAACTGTTTTGGCCTTGTGGATCCCCTCTAAAGGGTCTCCTAGGGGTCCCAACCACATTTTGAGAACACACAATTCCTAAGTCAGAGAGATATTGGTTCCGATGTTCCTTCTGAGCTTAAGCAAAAGTCGTCATCACCAAAATAAGCTCTTCTTTAGGAAATATACTACTATGATGCCAACAGTAATTAAGGGTCATCAATTCCCCCCAAAGATGCACACATTCCTAGTACTGTCCTTCTGATTAAGCAAGAGGATAAATATGCAGAGTGCTTTAGCTGAAGACTCGGCACGGGGGAAGAGTTGATAGCATTATTATTATCTAACAACTGTGATAATTATACTTACTAGGTGTACCGTTTTGAGGAAGTCCCAGAAGTAGGTACCATTCTTTATTCCCAGGTCACGAATGAGAAAATTGTGACACCAAGAGGTTAAATAACTTGCCCAAGAACTCATGGGTGTAAGCGGAGGAGTTAAGACTCAAGCGGAGAGCATCTCGTCTTCCAGCCTTTGCACCAACATCTAAGAAGCACTCCCTCTCTCCTTAGAAGATTTTAAAATAAGACCACCAGGAAAATAAGTTAAAATTCCTCAGTGCAATGTCTTGCTCCAAGTAAAGATGAAAAAAGCATCAAGGTTATAGGAGTGTATATCTGACACGTGTTCTAAAATGCAAGCGATGAAAAGCAAATTGTAATTACACCAGGCGAGCAATTATGTAAAAAAATGTGTACACGTGAACAAAAGTTGCGAAATATCCAGAGTGAATGAAAGTAACGACTATTGTTGTATGAGTATGATTGATGTTATTATGCCTCTTATTAGCATGTTGTTAGTACAAAGAAAACAAACATATTGACATATTTTACATGCAAACCCACAGTGCTGCTTAAAAATGAGAGATACCTACTCTGATTGGGCTGCCAGAAGTCAAAATTGGCTCAATGGCCATGGGCTTTGTTTAGCATTGTCAATATTCTTTACCATGTTTACTGAAATTTCTCAGAAGTCTCCTTTACCATCTCTACGAAAGTCTCCACCTCCACCTTCATCTCCTAATTTAACCTGCTCCTCTTCAATCACTAGCGTTTTAAAGAAATAAAATCTGGTTTATTTAATTTGATTAATTACAGTTGTCATAGCGGAATGATTTGCTGTCCTTTTTCCACTGCAAATCTACCACCATTAATCTAGACCCTATTTCATCAAAGACGTTTTGTGGGATGGGCTGACAAATGTCCTGTTTTGATGGGATGTGCGTCAAATTCTAAGCAATGCCGGGCAGCATGTGACATTTTGTAAGCTAGGAAGTTGCTGTATTAAAAGGATATAGAGGAAATCTCGTGTGTGTGTGTGTGTGTGTGTGTGTGTGTGTGTGTGTGTGTGTGGTGGGGGGTGCAGTATGCATTTTTCCCTGCATTGAGCAACTCACTCTGAGTTAGTGCACTTAGTGGTGTCAACTGGGAAGGTTCTCTCTGGTCACAGTGACATTTTTCATGAAAGCAGTTTTGCTAGAACCTCGTTTTCTGTGATGGCTGATGTGGCAGTTACATAATTTCATGTCAACTTGATAAATGGGTTATAGGTCATAGGTCACAGCCTGATTGATGACTCCTTGTGGATGTGGCCTTCTCATGAGGCTTCTAGGAGTCTTCCTCTCTTCCTCTCTGAAGGCGGGACACACGCACTCTCTCTGCTGCACATTCCTGTTGTTGAAAAGCCACATGGAAGCACACTGATGGCAGCCAGAGCCCTGGAGATGCTTTTACCACCAATGGACCCACAGGACTTTCCACCCACTGGCCTGTGATCTTGCATTCAGCATCACTGCATGTGCTGCATAAGTCTGAAGTGGAATTCATGGGCTAATATAGAATTTATGGACTTGATCTGGACTAGGCTGGATGTTTTATTGATGCATAATTACTTCTTGATATAAAGTTCCCTCTTATATATATATATATATGAGTGTCTGGATTTGTGTCTCTAGTCAACCTGGACTAACACAGCCAATTTAAGGGAAAAGCGTGTGGCTTTGAAATTTTGTTTCCTGCTTGGGAAAAATGTCACAGAAGCTGTTGTGATATTGAACAGCTTACAAGGACAGTGTTATGGGAAAAACTGAAGTGTAGGAGTGGTTTTCTCGTTTCTAAAAAGATGAACTGTCGGTTGATGACAAACTTCATCCTGAACATTTCAACAACAAAAATGTCAACTCATAGTGCATTTGGAGTTTGTTTCACCAGGTCAGACTGTTAATCAAGCTTTCTATTTAGAGGTTCTGAAGTGATTGCATAACAGTGTACAACAAAAAAGGCCTGATTTATAGCAGACAGGGCAATGGTTCTGCCACCACGACAATGCACCTGTTCACACAGCCATCTCAGTGCCCCATTTTTTGGCAGAAAATAGCATGCCTCTCTTGCACCCCCACACCTTACTCACCCGACCTTGCTCCATGTGACTATTTTTTGCTTCAATGCATGAAGACGTACATGAATGGACAGTGATTTGATGACATAGAAGAGATGAAGAAAAAAATGAGGGTGGTGCTGTCAGCCATCCAAACAGATGAGATTGAAAAATGTTTCCAAGAATAAAATCGCAGATTTCACAAATGCATTAAGTATAATGGAGAGCATTTTAAAGGTGATAAGGTTGTTTTGTAAAAATATTTAGCTTTGAAAACATTTTCGTTTGGTGGGGAGTACTCCTTCATATGTTCAATATCCTTTCTTGTATACACATTTAAACAACAACAACAGCAACAACAGCAACAACAGGTTCCTCAGAGGGCAGCTTGGGCAATTGGAACACCATAGCTCAAAGATAGTGTTCTACATCCTAGTTTGTGAGTAGCATCTGAGTCTGTAAAATTTGTGATGGATCATCTAAAATGCCTCTTAGTGTCTGTTGCAAAAGAGGAAGAAGAAAGCCAAAGAATTAAAGAAGAAACTTGTCTTTAGAACAAAAAGTCTGTGAGCCACAACCTCAGCTACCTTGACACCAGGCTACCAGTACAAACTAGGAACACAATAGATTGTTCCCGATAGTGAGGGAGAAACAGCAGAGCAAAAGTCAAATTTCTTTTCAAAAGGCCAGGTGTACAGTGCTGGCAGAGACTAAAAGGGACCTTGAGACTGTCCACTGGTATTTCACTGTCATTGAGCCAAGGATGACTCACAGTAACCCCTTCGTAGGTTTCTAAGGCGGTAACTATTTACGGGAGTAACTCCTGACCATTAGGTCACAGCCCAACACATAACCACTGTGCCACCATGGCTCCCTAACCCCTGATATATAACCTTCAAAATAAAAACTAAAATCACTCTCATGAGGCCTCCTATCAGCCAAAGGACGGAGTGGATCATAAACTAAATAACACCACTTGTGAACATTATGCTCCTCTGAACAATCGTCTAAATGAGACTCAATGGCCACCACTTCCCCTAGACCAAAGGTGAGCAGGTGAAGGGGCAATACGGCTGCACTAATGGAGACCAGACTAGAAAGAGCACGAATGCCGACACACTGTGGGACGTGCAGCCAGTGTCACGGAACGCTGCACAGAGAAATCATTAAACGAGAGTCGAATTTGCCACATAGGTATTCTCCAAAATCACAATAAAATATTTTAAAAACAAACACACTGAACCAAAACAAAACAACAAGTTCTTCATTCTTTTTCCTACGCATCTTGGGACAAACTGACAAGAGAGTCTCTCTTCTCCATTTCCTCGGTCTCGTGTTCAGTGGCTTGCAATGTCAACATCTGTTGGAGGTGCCTGTGAGTAAAGCCAAGGGGGAAGAGAAACACAGAGAAGGCAGCAGTGGATGATCACCGGTGACCTAGGTAAGAGAACTGGGAGAGAGAACAATATCCTTAGCAGGTACCTGAGGTAGCTGTGCCCGGATATCTTCAGACCCAATGAAGATGCTCTCCAGGTGGGACCATGTGCGCTGCACCTCAAACCAGATTGAGATGACAGCATCCGCCGAGGAGAGCTTCTTCTGCCAGCCCGACACTTCCTCCGAGAAGAAAGCAATGTACTTGGACATCATCAGGTTCTGAAGCTGGACCTGGTTGTCCTCCAGGATCTCAATGAGGTCTTCATCAGACCGCCAGAGGGGGATGTGGGTTCGAGGGTGGGGCTCATACTGAAATTCCATGCCCGCCCACGTGGTCTGCAGCTCCTTCAAGGTCTTCTCCATGCCCATCTCCTTTACAGCCCTGTCCACAATGCCCCGGACCTCATCCTCAAAGTGGTGCAGCTGGAGCTGCAGGAGGTGAGCCAGGGTGGTATCCTCATCCATGGTGAAGCTCACCCCAGTGGCCTGCATCAGTTGCCCCCAGTGCCGCTCCCGGATGGCTGGGTTCTGCAGCTCAGCCACTGCCCTCAGGGAGGTCAGGGTGTTCAACACAGTGTTTTCCAGGCCTGTGAAGGCATCCCAGGCCCTGACCTCTTTGTCAAGGCTCCGGATGTGCCTGGCAAAACGTTTGCACTCGAGGTCCATGGCATCGACGTTGATGTCCCTCCATTTAGTGGTCTCCCAGGCATGGATGCTTGAGGTCACCATTCCAATTGTGTCCCAGAGCTCCTTCAACTGACAAGCCTCCTTCCTGCACTGCTTTAGCTGCTTGTAGTCAGGAACACTGACTTCAAACAAGCCAGCCGACTCAGAGATGGAGGCCATGGTAGATTCCATCTGCTGGATGGCTATGTGTTTTGCATCGAGCATTTGATGAGGGTCAGTGCTGTCAAACCTGGAAGACACAGTATTTTTCCTTTGTAAGGACAGAGCAGAGGGGGGTGTATTTGATAGAATCGCCAAAGTAACACCATCTGAAATCTTTAAATACTTCATATTCCAAGAAAGATCAATGACTTTCTTGAAGAAAATATATGCAGGGATGAGGAGAAGACAGACCGGAAGAGAGGCAATTCAAGAGAAACTTCATGTTTGGACCTGGTCTGTACATCTGAGAAAACAATACTATTCCTCCCATTCCCCAACCTCCCACCCAGATGGAGGGCAGTAGATCCTTTATTCAAACCCTCTTACCTTTTTTTCTTTTCTCTTTTTCTTTAACTGAGCTGTTGGCTTCCAGAGACTATTTGACACCAAAGAGCACCATCATATTATTGCAGGAATTGTTGAGCTAAAATCCTGCCAAGTGGTAGGCAGCCTTGAAACATTTAGAAACGAATGTCGTTTCTCTCCCTACGGTAGTGGTCTTCAGCCTTGACTACACAGTAGAAATTGGAAGCTTTAAAAGCTCTCCATTCCCAGGCTGCTTCCTACACCGATTAAACCATGATTTTGGGGGGTAGTCTGGCAGGGTCATGAGCAATGCAGTCAAATCAGAACAGACAGAATTTTAAAATTATGGATGAAGCAGAAGTATAAATGGAATGAGAAAAGAATATGGGTTGAAACTCTGTTGTTGCCAGGGCTGTGGAGAGCACCCCATCGTTGAGTGGGTCACCAATATTTGCAACTGCCAATCAAGAGATTTGGTCGTTATGCTACACACGAGATGGCCTGCCTTTCTTTCCTTTTTTAAAAATCATTTTACTGGGGGCTCGTACAACTCTTATCTCATTCCATCCATCCATCCATCCATTGTGTCAAGCACATTTGTACATTTGTTGCCATCATCATTCTCAAAACATTTGCCTTCTACTTGTGCCCTTGGTACCAGCTCATTTCCCCCCTTTCCTTGGTTCCCCCTCCCATATGATCACTTGATAATTTATAAATTATGATTATTTTGTCATATCTTACACTGTCCGACGTCTCCCTTCACCCACTTGTCTGTTGTCCATCCCCCAGGGAGGAGGTCATATGTAGATTCTTGTAAGTGGTTTCCCCTTTCTATCCCACCTTCCCTCCACCCTCCTGGTATGGCACTCTCACCACTGGTCCTGAAGGGATCATCTGTCCTGGATTCCCTGTGTTTCTGGTTCCTATCTGTACCAGTGTACATCCTCTGGTCTTGCCAGATTTGTAAGGTAGAATTGGGATCATGATAGTGAGGGGAGGGGAGGCGGGGGTGAAAGGAAGCATTAAGAACTAGAGGAAAGTTGTATGTTTCATTGTTGCTACCCTGCACCCTGACTGGCTCGTCTCCTCCCTGAGACCCTTCTGTAAGGGGGTGTTCAGTTACCTACAGATGATTTTGGGTCTCCACTCTGCACTCACCCTCATTTACTATGAGTTTTTGTTCTTTGATGCCTGATACCTGGTCCCTTCTACACCTCGTGGTCACACAGGCATGTGTGCTTCTTCCATGTGGGCTTTATTGCTTCTGAGCTAGATGGCTGTTTGTTTACCTGCAAGCCTTTAAGACCCCAGATGCCGGGCACCATCAGCTTTCTTCACCACATTTCCTTATGCCCCGATCATGTAGGGAAGGTGTGCATCATGGAATGCCAATTTAATAGAACAAAGTGTTCTTGCATTGAGTTAAGTACTTAAGTGGAGGTCCAATGTCCTTCTGCTGCCTTAATACTAAACCTATAAATATATGCACGTAGATCTATTTCCCCACCATCCTATATAAATATATTTACATATTTATATGCCTGTATTTAGACATCTATAAATGCCCTTTGCCTCCTAGTTCTTTCCTTTATTTCCTTTGACTTTCTTCTTGTCCCACTATCATGCTCAGCCTTCATTTGGGTTTCAGTAATTCCTCTCGGTTACATTGCCCCTGATCAAGCCCTACCAGGCCTCTCACATGATGGGTTTACTTTCAAACAGGAAGATAAAGTTTCTAGTAGGACATTGACCCATAATTTCCCATGTTCCAGTTATTGCTCTGGTATATCTATGTCTTACAAATTCAGGTCCATTCAGTTTTACTTCATCAACCATGAGTAGATCCATGAGGAAGCAGTTCAAAAGTGTTTGGAAAGCTCCCCAGGCAATTCTAATGTGCAGCCAACGTGAAGTAAAGACGGCGAGACTTCAAAGCTCATTTGCTTTGGACACAGCATCAAGAAAGACCTGGATTTCATTTCTTGAGCTATGGGCATGTCTGCATGAGCAGGAACGTGTCTTAACTCAGGAAGTCAAGGGTCATCTCATTTTCCTCTCCCAATCACCAAGCTGTGCCTGGTGTCTGGGGAGGAGGAGCTGGTAGGAATAGATTTTGGAGACACGTTGGTTTAAGGAAGAATAGATTGTTATGTCTAAAATCAAAACAGGGAATTTGAGGCTGAATAACCAAGGAACCTTAGGAAAAAATGGGTAATTAGGACAATTGACCATTATCTACAATCCAATGTGCAGATGTTTGTGCCTTTGTGTGCATACAGAGTTCTTTTCTTAAACGACCCTATATTTTACTTGTCTTTAGAAATATTTGACTTCATAGATGGAAAGTAATTCTAATTAAAGTTATTTACCTGAACTGCTTATACTTAAGCCCAATTACCATGGAAAACAATAATCATTATGCATACCATTGAATTAATGTCAGATTAACGTTGATGCTTGTTATATCTGAATCAAACTCTAAACAATGTTCCTGCTTGTTCCAGCTAAAACGGTTTTGGTTCATATGCTATGGTTGCAGATGAATCTCTTAGAATAATGGGAGTAAACACGTTTCATGTAACATCCAAGGTTAGAGGAATAGGCACAAGCATCCGTGGTGGCATGGAGGGTGGCAGGTGGGAACAGCACAAGAGAAAGTGAGCAAGAAGGAGTGGAGGTTGTCCCTGCCTGTTGGTCTACCACATGAGCATCAGGAGCAGGCGGGGCCCCACAACCACGATTGCCACTGCCATCTATCCACTGGACAGAGACTAAGAACTCACACCAAGACTCATGTCCTCTGCTTCATCTTCCTGTTCCATAAGAATCTAGGTTTGGGTCTCCAATATAAAAAATGACCAGGATACCTGGTTTGATAGAACCCAGTGGAATCCCTGAGACCTTGACCCTGAGATAGCCTTGAAACCTGGGACTGAATCCACCCCACCACTCAACTTACAGCCAAATGATAGGTCTATACGGTGAAAAATAACACCAGGGAGATGCCCAGTTCTTAGAACAATCAACGAGATGGGATTCAAAGGGCAGGACTTACCAGGAATAAAGTTTCAATAGCCGAAATGGGTAGGAAAGAAGTATAAAGAGAAATGGATTGAAAAAAAAATCAATGTCGCAAATAAATTGCATATGGATTGTTGAATGTAAAACCAATTTGCTCTGTAAACTTTCACCCACAATTTTAAAGAGTGGGAGAAGAGGATCATGCAAAGAGGGCTTTTTTCCCTTTAAACAAAATAAAACAGGATACCTCAGGGAACCCAGGCACATACAGGGTTGGATATTGCCTAAACAAATGTTAATCCACATATCTTCACTGTTCTTCAGCTCTAAAATACAGGCAGCCCTGGGATTAGGAACAAGATATGTCCCTAAGTATATCTTTTGAGTCATGCTTGTAGATAAGTTGGAATAGGTACGTATGGAACTTCTTTTGCCTTACTTCAGTGCAAGAAATGACTCGAAGACTTTCAATGATTTAATGCATAGCATGTACAGCATGTGAAGGTGATTGTGATGGAGAATTTGATACAAATAAGGCCTGGTTCATTTTGAATGGCAACCTGAGTGCAAATTTGCATAACATTAAAAGTTAAGTACAGGTTGTTGAGGAGCCCTGGGAGTGTACTAGTTAAGCATTTGGCTGCTAACTGCAAGGCTGGCAGTTTGAAACCACCAGCTGCTCTGAGGGAGAAAGGACTCTTTCTACTCCTATGAAGAGTTAGTCGTGGAAACCTACAGGGCATGTTGTCTTCTGCTCTATAGGGTCTCTAAGAGGCAGAATTGACTCAGCAGTGAGTTTGATTCGGTTTTTGATGAGTTGATGAACAAGAATTGATGCATTTGAATTATTGTGCTGGCAAAGAAGACTGAATGTACCATGGACTGCCAAAAGAACAAATACATGTCTTAGAAGAATGCTCCTTAGAAGCAAGGATGGCAAGACTTCATCGCAGGTACTTTGGACATGTTATCAGGAAAGACTAGTCTTTGGAGAAGGACATCGTGCTTAGTAGTGTAGAAGGGTACTGCAATAGAGGAAGACTCTCAACAAGATAGACGGACGCAGTGGCTACAACAGTGGGCTCAAACATGAGAACAACTGTGAAGATGGCGCCGGGCCGCGCAGCGTTTTGTTCTGTTGTACACAGAGCTGCCGTGAGTCAGAACTGACTTGATGCCACCTAACAGCCACCACAGGGCTGTTCGTAAGGTTGGCTTTCCTAATTTGAGACTTCCTATATTTCAGAACGAAACACAAAGTTGGAGTTCGCAGAGCTGAGAGAAAAACAAACATAAAGAAGAGTGTTGTCATTGAGTTGATGTGAAATCATGGTGATCCTATGAGTTTCTAAGGTTGTAAATCCTTCTGGGAACATGCAACCTCATCTTTTCCCATGGAGCATCTGCTGGGTTTGAACTGTGGGCCTTGTGAGTAGCAGTACATTTACCCAACAGCACCACCGGGGCTCCTAGTTGGAAAGGAGCTTAAATCATTTACAGAGGCAAGACGCTTTCTCCTTTACAAAAAGCAGTGGGAAAGGCATAGGATGCCAAGAAACACTCGATCCTCATGGCAAGCAGCCCAGCAAGAGAAAGCACCAAGGAGAAACTGGTTTTTCTGTTTATCTTTCATTCCCAAAGTCTAGCTGTGTGCCTAAATGTTCCTTTGTATCACGGCCCTGGTGGCATCATGGTGGT